CGTGGTCCTAGAGCTCAACCAGTGTCAATTTAATATAGCGTAACATTGTTTTTGGATGGTAAAAAGTGCAGGGGTCAAACCTTGACTATGGAAAAAGTGGGGGGGACATGTACCCCCCCCCCCAAATTACGTCCATGGTTGGCAGGAATTAGGATTAAGTTTCAGTGTATTAACATCATACCGGCGATCTTATCGTAGTCTGGAGCCTGAGAGTCGGAGCTGCTGCTCTCCTCCGTCTCGCGCCGCTCTCCCACGACTCCATCCAGGTCACTGAAATCACTCTGCAGAAGAATCACACCGACCACATTGGTTTTACTGATGGAGACTTCATGCATCGCAGTGGCGGTTTTACCATTAGGCATAGGCCGGCGGCCGCCTGGGGCCCCCTTGTGTTGGGGGCCCCCCTAGCCCTGACCGCCGGCACCCCTCGGTTAATGCCACAATATACTTATTACCAACCTGTCACCGCAGACGGGATTGGACATGCTTCTCATTACCATAATTCCTGAGCCGTTCAAGATATCATTAAAATTCCAGAAGTGCTGAAAAGATAAAAAATGGGGCTTTCCGTGCGTATACAATACATTACGGTAGCCACCTGGATTCCCTGTTTTGAGCGCAACAAATCACAACACAGATTCAGAGGCATGCTTAGTTTGTTATCCAACATGCTCCGTTTTATAAATTTTGAATGTCTGATCAGATTCAAATACTTCCAACGGTTCCTAAAAGTACATAAAAGCAGCTTTCCAACGGTCTATAGCATGAAGCAATCAGAGTTATGGAAAATATCGCTACGAGGGGAAATCCTGCTGTACAGCCTGATTGAAACGGAGGGCAGCGCCGCGGTGAAAGCGGATAACGGGAACGGGGAAGCTAATGAGCATAAAAACCAACATGAAATTATGGAAATGCCTCAAAGAAAATCAACACGATCTATTAGGCGTCCCAGAAGGCTTATATCTGAAGACAGTGACCATGAAGAAGGACAGATCTCCAGTGAACCAGGATATGAATGTTTGTTCAGTCTTTATTTTTTATTTTTTTTATTTGAACAACACTCAACTAATTGCTAATTGTAAGATTCAGCTTCATTCCAGCATTATTTATCTTTTACAATAAATAATTATTTTTGCTAAAACAAAAGTTTTTGGTATAGCAGTGCACGGTGTGCCAGAGAAGCACCCCATGGCAGTGTGAGGTGTGCAGGACTCTGCCTGCAGCTGGAGAGAAACTGCTTTAAGGCCCACCACATCAAATAAAAACATCTGAAAGTTTACAAAAATAAATGGTCTTAAAAAGGGCTAAAAAGATACCAAGGTTCACACGTTTTTAAGATTAGATGCATTACAGTTCAAAGTTTAAATTGTTTGGCCAGTAATTTTGAAGTTCCTGTTCAGTAATAAATGTAAAAAATTCAAATCCATTTTTTGCTTTTTTTTACTTTTAAGCTGATTTTTAAAGGCTTTAATAGAAATAAATTCTAAATACAAACCATACACTGAAAGCTGAGGTTGTTCTGAAAAAAGGAGAAGAGTTACACACACTTTGCACTTTTTATTACAATTTTACAGCCATAAGATTACAGAAATACCAGGCGGCCCTGTTATAATTATGGTCATAAGAGGGTTATTAAGACGGATGCACAAACAGGAAGTGATTGGTAGTCATTCCACTCCAATCCAGTCGGTGGCGGTAATGCACCAAATTGTTGTTTGCCAAGTGCCATAAGACCACAAATAAGAATAAGAGAATGCAGAAAAAGAAGAAGAGAGGCGGGAGCATTCGTAACAAACCCAAAGCGATAGTCAAAACATGAAGCATGAAATGGAGTTATCCTAGTGGCTCCAATAAGAGAAAGAAGCAGCATGCTTCATAAAAGCTTTTATTTTCACTTCTGAAAATGACGTTGTTTTTCGATGTAAACATCAAAAGGAAGCAGAAAGGAAAGACAATGGAAAATGTTAAAAGGGAGGAAAACATGGACCAAAAGGGAAAACAAAAAACAAAAAACAAAGGCTAAAGCACAGGAGCACTGACAGGAAAAAGAAAGCTGAGCAAATATTGAAAGCGCTCAATGGGAGGGAAATACAGGAAAAAGAGGACTAATAAAAAGGGAAACTAGCTCATGTCAGAAGAGGGGAGTTTCGCAAATCCAGTTAAAGGTAAGCTTGTTGAAAATTAAGTGTAAGGGGCCCCATGTCTGTGTTCGCCTTGGGCCCCCAAATTGCTAAATCCGCCACTGATGCATCGTGTGGGTTGTTCTAGCTAATGTGTAACAGACACAACCTCAACAGAAAAAGAATCAGCTGTTTGTTTTAATGAGCCTCTTCAGACAGACGACAAGTTAACCTCAGACAACCGATGATGTCACCAGTTATTCATTTTTAAAAAATTTTTTTACTGTGTGTCTGGCTGTGAAGCAAACAGATTTGATGTCTGAATGCTGGTGTCAAGCCGTACAGATTTACTCTCAGGTGGAGCATCAAAGCTTCTGCTTTTAATGTCACGCCTGATCAGTGGCGGTTCTACATCGAATTACTCCCCGGGCGAGGCCCCCTTTGAGCGCCCCCCCCCCCCCCCAACCGCCCCCCCCCCCCCCCACCACCACCACCACACCACCCCACCTGCATGAACACACGCATGTTTTCTACAAACAGGCATGTTTTATTAGAACGACTATTGAACATTCATTTTTCTAAGTTGCACATATTTACATTAATTACTATGAAGTTGTCAGAATGTAAAGCACTATACATTATATACTGTATCAAAATATATAGAATCAAATATACAAAAACAAACAATAACTAAATATTAAGAATATATGAACATAATAGATAATAAATATTCTAAATAGCAAAAATATTTCACACGTAACAAACTAAAGATAATCACTACAGCATTGCACTTAGAACAGAAAACACAAACTAAAATTAAAACCTAACCTTGATGCAACATCATCAATAATGTCATCACATGAAATCTGCTCCCCTACTGAGTGATTGATACTAATCAGAGCCAGGTTAGTGAGCCGCCCCTGAAACATAGGTGACCTCAGGTATGACTTGATCAAGTTTTGAAAAGCTCCTCTCAGCTTGAGCCACAGTGACTGGCAGAGCAGTCCAAAAGTTGGGGTAGAGCTCCAATAGATCTCATGATCCATAATATTTTAGAATTGCCTCTGAAATTGTAATTTAAACTGACATAAAAAACTGTAGACTACCAAAAATGCCAACTTTTACAGAACAAATCATGTAAAAAATAATCAGTGCAGCCATCTGCAATAAATAAACAGGATAGTTAGTGGTGACTGGGGTGTTTTCTTCTGCTTGTAGAGTTGTTTTATTTATTATTATGTGAACATGATCAACATGTGTTTGTTGTTGTTCAGGCAGGCCACGGGCTGCAGTGAGCATTTAACAAATCCTAGTTTGAATCAGTAAAAACCGATTCAAGGACTTTTTTCAAACCATTTGAATATTCGTTTAAATATTTCAGCCCTATTAGCTCTGTTAGCAATTAGTTGACCGCATTTAACCGTTAAAATCCCAGTTAACTGGTTCAAAAAATTGAAAACAAGCATCATGAGAGCGTACATACCTTTATCTTTCTGCTCTTTTTTCTTTTTTTCCCCCTGAATGGGGGCACCTGGTGGTTTTAGCTTTTTTATGTTCATCTCTTCTGTTTGGCTCCTGACTCAGTAAGTTTCCTTTAGTCAGGACTAAACAATTTGACCTTGATTGGGGGGGGGGGGGGGGGGGGACCACAAAATCGTTTTGTTTTTCCTTTTTTTATTCGGCCATTTCACACAATTCAGAGAAACCTGAAAGAATGATAGGCCTGTGTTTATGATGTTATGAATGAAATATGGAAGAACGTTAAGATGTGATTGACTTTAGCCACGTTAATACAGTTGATTCAGCCCCTGCACGCTCATTTCATTTGGGAAAGACGCAGAGGTGAATTCCCCCGTCGCACCCCTTCCCTTCCTGTTGTTCATAGACACACGGAGCACGTGAACGTTCTCAGTCAGCAGGAGCGCCTGCAACTGCAGGGGGCGCCAACTTGCTGTTTCCAATCCAGACACTGTCATATGACAGATAATAGAAAACCTCGGTGCGGCGCAGATTTCCTTTTTTTTTTTTTTACTCAGCGCTTGTGCGCCCCTTTTGTGTCATGAAAAAATGCCGCCCCGGGCAACTGCCCTGTCTGCCCGTGCCTAAAACCGCTACTGCGCCTGATACTTAAAACTTTGTTATTGTTTGTTGAATGCTTGTAATTCCGACCAGACACGGAGACAGAGGTGAAGGAGAAAGGAAGAGACAAAAGGAGGGGGGTTGGTCCACAAAAAGAAACAATCAATGATGAACAAGAGTCTGCTTCTAGACCTGCAGAAGGAGAGAGAAGAAAAAGAAAAGGGACACATAGCAATACAACAGGAGCAAGCTATCACTGCATCAACCTGATGAGGAAATATAAACACATTGTTTTACTGAACAATCACACGATAATAAATCACAGTGCATTTAGTGCCAACCACAGCCGACATGTGTTGAACGTGCCCAAGTCCATACTTATGAGAGCACCATGTGAGCACCTGTATGCGTACATGCGATTCTATATGTAAGGTTTCTCTATAGGAGCGTCCAATAGAGAGTGTGAGGAGCCACAGATCTGCCCCCCAAAGATGCATAGGAGATGGAGGGAGCTCCAAGTCCCAGAGATCCAGGAGCTGCCCCAGAGCACAGGGACCCCAGGGAGACTGCGACCAGAAAAGCCCCCGCCCCCCTCGAGAGGCGCAGAGGATTGCCCCGGGGGGTCACAACCAGCAGCTGGCAGAGCAGGAACCGACCCCCAAGGCCCCGCCCAGATCCCCACACGGGGCCGGCCAACCCCACACCCCGAGCCCCCAGGCCCCCACCCAGAGCTACTCCGGGGCATTGCAGCTGCCAGGCAGCAACCCATGGCCACCGCCAAGACCCCCAAGGGGCCCTACTCACAACCACCAGTAGCCCACCCCCCGAGGCAACCCAAGCACCTCCAGAGGGGGGCAGCAGCCCCCCAGCCCCAGACGCCCAAACCCCATCTTGAACATCCGATGGTCTGTATAGTGTACTCTGTGTAGGATTTAGTACTGAATTAATTGTAAATTGGAGTGTCTGATCATTTTAAAAGTTTTTAAACAAGTTTGGGACCAGAAGTTCTGGTCAAAGCTGACTGATAGATCCACCTCCCATTTTTCAATAGGGATTACTATTCTATAGTCTATTTTGGACAGTGTCTTATATACTTTAGACAGTAGTTTGGGGGGTTTGAGATTATAGAAGTCTAATACCCTTGGTGGTGTTTTTAATTCTACTTTATTGAGCTTAAATTTTTTGTTTAACTACAGATTTAATTTGGTGATATTCTAAAAATCTATTCTTGTTTGTAGCCAGTTTATGAAGAAGTTCCCAAAACCAAATTTATGTAAAGTTGCAAATAAGAACTTCCAGTTAACTCTATCAAAAGCCTTTTCTGCATCTAGAGATAATATACTAGTTTCTATGTTTCTACTGCAAGAGAAATCTAACAAATTAAGTAATCTACGTGAATCAGTGGATGACTGTCTACCCTTGATGAAACCAGTTTAGTCAGGGTGTATTATGAAGGGGGTTACCTTCTCTAATCTTTTTGCCAGGGCTTGACAAATTATTTTGAGCTCAATATTAATAAGAGAAATTGGGCGATAGCTGGTAGGAAATGCAGGGTTTTTGCCTGGTTTTAATAAAAGACTAATATTGGCTGAATTCATGTTTGGCTGTAATCTGCCGCTCTCTTCGATTTCCCTCACATTCTGAAGAATGTTGAAGCGAGAATGATCCAGAATTCTTTGTAGAACTCTGCTGGAAACCCATCTGGACCTGGAGCTTTCCTATTAGGCATGGATTAAAGGGCTTCCTGGAGCTCCGCTGATGTTCGTGGCGAGTCCAGGACTGTAACTTGGCTGTCTGATCATTTAGGAAGTGTTATCCTGTCAAGAAACTCATTGATCTTGCTACCTGATGGGTTTATCTGTGGTGAGTACAAAGTTTGGTAAAAGAAAGTTTGTTTATTCTTTCAGGGTCATAAACTATATTCCCGGTTGAGTCTTTAGCAGATATGGTGGTTTTCTCTTTATTTATTCTTAACTGGTTAGCTAAAAATGTACCTGATTTATTACTATGTTCAAGGTTTTCTATCTTAGTGCTAAAAATTGTGTCTTTTTTCAATAATTCCATGAAGTTCTAATTTAGCTTTATGTAATCTGCTCAGTAACTCTTCTTCTGTGGATGCCTCTAAAGACTTAATGATTTCTTCTAACTCCTGAATATGTTTGTTTTCAGTTTTTTTTCTTATGTGATGAGAAAGAGATTATTTTACCTCTCATCACTGCCTTTCCTGCCTCCCAGAGAACAGATGCTGATGTTCCAGGCAGGTCATTATGTTCTAAATATAAAGCCCACTCCTTTTTTAAAAATTCTATAAAACCTTCGTTTTTAAGCAGTGATGTATTAAACCTCCAGTAACCTCCAGTTTTTGCTTGGTGGGATTGTCTTCTTGTTTACCAGAGTTAAAGAAACTGGAGCATGGTCGCTGACAATTATAGGGTGTATCTCAGTGTCTGAAATGTCAGCCGACAATGAGCTGCTGACTAGAAAATAATCCAAATGTGAACGAGAGTGATGGACGTGTGAGAAAAAAGTATACTCTCTATGGTTAGAATGAAAAGATCGCCATGCATCACAAAACCCATAATCACTCATGTATTGTTTAACTATGTTAGTGGACTGTCAATTGCGCTGAGTCCCAACTGTACTGAGCCTGTCTGTTAAAGTATCCATCCAAAAATTAAAATCGCCTCCAAGTATAAGTGGGCAGTCCAAGTGTTCGGAGTACAGAGAAAAAATTATGAAAGAATGAAGGGTCGTCAATATTTGAACAATGTATGCTGACGATTCAGAAGCTTTGGTTCTGTATGGATATTTTTAGTATTATAAATCTACCCTCTGGATCTGAAACTGTGTCCAATACTGTGAAATTGATGTTTTATGTCACCAGTTATTCAACAAGCACAGGAAAAACAGTTCCTGCTGTGATCTTTTTGCGGCTCTGAAGAAAAAATCAGGTCATCCAAGATCGTTGTGTTGTTTGTCTTCATGGACTCACCAGCGGGAAGCGAGGTGATAGCGGCGATCTCTGACCCCTAAAGCTGTTTTCAGCTGAGGAGGGAATGGGGCTACTGCACGGACTCCTCTCCTATATAGAAATAAATGAATAAAAACAAATAAAACACAAAGAATTGCACCCAACCAGGACAGCATAGTTGCACTTTCCTCTAAAGATTTGGTCTGAATAAAGGTCAGCTTGTTGCAGAGAGTAGACATACCAGTGACCAAAGGCTTCATTGTAGCTCCACCCATGGCACTTAAAAATGGGCGGAGCCAAAGGAGGAGATCTTATTGGTTTCTTAAAGTCAAATTCGCCAAGTACTTTAACAAATTATTGGCAAAATGTCTCAGACGCTGGAGAAGGCTGCAGGGATTTTGAAAATGACATGAAAAATCTCCATAAAAAATTCCAATCCACATTTTTCTGTGGAGTTGTCACTGGCCGCGTCTGGAAACAGCCTCAAACTTACAGCTTAGCTTTCGTGAGAGTAAAAGTGCAACAAAAACTCTGAGGGGTGACGTGGTCGTGGTTTAGTCCTGCCGTTTTTTTCTGAAACACGCCACAAACTTCTCTAAAACACGAACTAAAGAAATCTAAAAATGAGAGAATATTTCAATAAAAGGTTTAGGATGGTCGCATTTTATTATTAGTGCATTCATATTATTATTTATTCTTAAATTATTAATTTACATTATTGGTCAAAAAGCTCCTCTAAATCCGTGACCATGGTCTTCAGTCAGAAAAGGGAAGAAGGCCTTCTCCAGGTCAGGGACCAGGTCCTGCCCCAAGTGGAAAAGTTTAAGCATCTCAGGTTCATGACTGAGGAAACGATGGAGCGTGCGATCGATAGGCGGATTGGTGTTGTGTCTGCAGTGATGCGGGTGTTGTACTGATCTGTCGTGGTGAAGAGAGAGCTGAGCCAGAAGGCGAAGCTCTCGATCTACGTTCCTACCCTCATCTACCGGGTACTCCGGTTTCCCCTACAGATCACAACATGCCCTACAAGTTAAAAATTGTATGTCACTTTGGATAAAAGCATCTGCCAAATAAATAAACATAAATATAAACATCTATGATCACAAGCTTTGGATAGTGTCGAGATCATGGATACAAGTTGCCAAAAAGAGTTTTCTCTGCAGGGTGGCTGGCTCTTTCTTAGAAATAGGGTGAGAAGCTCGGTCATCTGGGAGGGGCTCAGAGTAGACCCGTTGCTCCTCCACGTGGAGAGGAGCCAGCCAAGGTGGCTAAAGCCGGGCTTACACTGTGCGACTTTTTCACTCGTAGCATTCAGCTTCAGCTCAAACTGTACGACTTCCTCGCAGGGCAGATCTCACGAGTCATGTGTTCACACTGCACGACCCAGTTCTCGGATGCGACCTGACTGCTCACACTGTACGTCTGGTAGCAACACGCCAGACCTTAAAATATGCTAAAAATAGCAGTTTTTACTCAACACGTCAGACTTTTTTTTTATCTTGTTTTGCCTGTTGTCCTTCGGGAGTGCTGCAGGAGGACACACAGGGATTTTTGGGGGTTGGATGAGGAAAACGAAATAAAGAAAGTAATTCTGTGTTTTATGATCAGTTTAATTGACACGAACACGACAAACACGCTTTCTTGACAATCTTTGTGAGTAAAAAAACGTGTAGAAATAAAAATGAACAACGTGTGTTATTAGGGAAATAGCGGGCGAGCGGCGTTGATGCATGATTGCGCATGCGCCATGAGCGGTTCTGGTACTTTTTGGGTCGCAGCTGCTCGCAGCACCGCTTCAACTGTGCGATACCCTCACGAGGGACGAGCAAAATATCAAACACGCCAGAAGTCCGTGCGACCTCACGACTGCTGATCTGTAGCTGGTCACGTGGTGTTAATCGCCTCTCGTAACCCCCTGTACACTACACGACGCTCGGCGCAAAACTCGCCCCGATGTCGTGGATTCTCGCACGAGTGGAAAATCGGCTCAAAAAAGTGAAAAAGTCGCACAGTGTACGCCCGGCTTAAGGCATCTGGTCAGGATGCGTCCTGGACGCCTCCCTGGTGAGGGAGTCTTCTGTCTTATGCAAAGTGTTTTTTGTTGGATTGACTCCTACTAACAAAATTATGATCCTTCAGACTTTCACCTTGACCATGGCGACTTTGTGTAAAATATCCTGCCGAAACATGAACCAACGAAGAGGATAAATCAAATCCAAGAGGCCATAAATGCACCAAGACCAAACCAACCAGAGTAAAATCACACTTCACCACTGAAACAAACAAAGGCCCTTCAGGATTGTTTACTGCTGCCATGTGCACTACCTTTTGCTGCCTGAGGTGGCAGTAGTTCCCCACATGATTGAGTAAACGATCCATAGAATGAACTGGATGACATGTGACCTCATCAACAGATGAAGAGTCTGTCTTACCTCCAGGTGGAGACAAACTGACATCAGGAACTTGTAGGTGTTGTCTCTGGACAGGAAGGACACAAACACGTACTGTAGCAACAGAAAACACACGAAAAACAATCAGAAAACAAACTCCCATCTGCAAAAAAACATCTTCCAGCTCCCACCCGGTCATTCGCAGTGGCGATCACCAGAGCGTTTGGCACCAGGATGACGGTGTTGGTCTTCTTGATGTTTGTGACGGACACCACTGGGATGGCAATCTGGGTCAGATGAACACTTGTGAATGGGACCGTCACGTTTACATACTTTAACAGTTCGCTTTGAAAATGTGTCGTGCAATTAAAAAAAATCAAGTGTGTCCATACAATTATACTTTGTGTCTAAACATCTTAAATATTTATGTCAATATGTTTTAAATTTAATTCAGATTTTTAAACTAAAACCTAAATGTTTAAATCTGAATAAAAATGTGAGGATTTTAAAAGGATCATTAAGCCAGCTTCTCATTCAGATGGTCATAAAACAGAAGTACCCCTCCAAAATAAAAGCAGGGTGAAGAGAGCCCCTATATAAGAATATAATTTCTTTTCGTTTCTTGATTTCCTGCATTTTTGGGGACATGAGGTTGTCTCCAATATGACTTTACTGTAGTATTCTGCAGGTATTATGCCAAATGTTTCATGATGATGTCATCAAGACAAAGAAGCATTTCTTTTCTTTACACATTTCTTCAGGATACGACCACTTCTGTTTTTCTAATTTAGGTGATTTTATGAACACAAACACCTGAAATCCTAATAAAAATCCCACATTTCTCTGCAGAACCGTCTCTCTGCGGCACTTTTCCCAGTACCTTTGTATCTTTGCCAAAAACCTTGGAGTGGAAGCAGATCCAGTGATCGGAGACGAACATTCGTCCCTGATAGAGGATGTCTTTCTGCAAGGCGCAGGTGTAACCTGACAACAGGTAAATGTCAGCATTCCTCATAAAGCTGATAAAGCAACGTGACGTTTAAAAGCAGAACATGAAGAAAATTTCCTTTTTAGTTTAAAAAATTGCTGATTTCATCCTGGTGTCACATCTCATTCAGTATTTAAGGTGGAGCCAAGAGATCTTACTCTGTCTGAGCTGCTCCTCTTTGCTGATCTCCTTAAATATTTTATGGTACTGACCGTTACTCTTCGAAAGCTGAAACACACACACACACACACACACACACACACGTTGGTACAGCAGAACGTTTTGAGCTTATATTTAGATGCAGAAAGAATTTTAAAACTTTACAAATAAAAGACAGTTAGGGAAAATATTCTTGATAAGGACATTTCTAAAATTCTACGAGACAAAAGTATTTACAGGTGAAATGGAGAGACTTTGTTAATTCATCTTCGAAGCAGAAACTAACACATGAGACAGACTCATTCATGCAAAGCCGGGTTTTTCAGCCTTTGTTTGTCATAACTGTGATGATTAAGGCTTACAGCTTATAAACACCCACATTCAGAATCTCAGACAATCAGAATATTGTGAAAAGGTTCTAGACTCAAAAGTTTCACTCTCAGCTGATGAAATCCAGAACACCTGCAGAGGGTTCCTGAGACTTTAGATGGTCTCTCGGTCTAAGATGGATTACTAGCATAAATGGATTCTGATTCTTACAGTCGTCGTCTTCCTCCGCTTATCCGGGTCCGGGTCGCAGGGGGCAGCATCCCAACTAGGGAGCTCCAGACCGTCCTCTCCCCGGCCACCTCCACCAGCTCCTCCGGCAGGACCCCAAGGCGTTCCCGGACCAGATTGGAGATGTAACCTCTCCAACGTGTCCTGGGTCGACCCGAGGGCTCCTGCCGGCAGGACATGCCCAAAACACCTCCCCAGGGAGGCGTCCAGGAGGCATCCTGACCAGATGCCCAAACCACCTCAACTGACTCCTTTCGATCCGGAGTAGCGGTTCTACTCCGAGTCCCTCCCGAATGTCCGAGCTCCTCACCCTATCTCTAAGGCTGAGCCCGGCCACCCTACGGAGGAAACTCATTTCGGCCGCTTGTATCCGCGATCTCGTTCTTTCGGTCATTACCCAAAGCTCATGACCATAGGTGAGGATTGGGACGTAGATCGACCGGTAAATCGAGAGCCTGGCTTTCTGGCTCAGCTCCCCCTTCACCACGACAGATCGGCTCAGCGTCCGCATCACTGCAGACGCCGAACCGATCCGCCTGTCGATCTCCCGATCCCTCCTACCCTCACTCGTGAACAAGACCCCGAGATACTTAAACTCCTCCTCTTGAGGTAGGACCTCTCCCCCGACCCGGAGTTGGCAAGTCACCCTTTTCCGGTCGAGAACCATGGAGGTGCTGATCATGCATGGATTTTTACAATTTCACCTGTAAGTCTACCTTAGCACGTGTCTCCCGTTTGTTTGTCTTTGTTCACCTGTGTTGTCATTTATTTATCTCCATTTATATTAACAATGCTGTTCATAAAATATTTGCTGCAGACTCTAAAGGCCTTGTTTGGTCACAGTAAAGGTCAGAGGTCACAGCTCAACATCTCCGTAGGATAGTTCCAAAATCTCAGCCTAACAGAAACCCAAAGACTCGTCTCACGTTCATCAAAACAACATTCTGATGATCCCGGAGACTGATGAGACACGAAAGGTCATTTCTGTAAGGAGTGTGTGTCCTGTCCCATCTGGAGCAAAAATAACAAGTCAGACACGGTGGTGGTGATGTGATGGTCTGAACCTGCTGAGTTCTGCTCTGTACCACACAGAATGTCTGACCTTTGACCTCAAACAGACCTTCAGACGAAAAACTCTCCAATAATTCCGAGGTCAAACAATTCTGTCACGTGGAGTGGGAAAAATCCTTCCAGGGATGTGAGACTCGTGCCCAGTTATTACTGATTATTGATGCTTTATTTTGTTCCCTTAATAAATGACAATCCTCGTGTGAAAACAGCGTCAAGCCTGCGTGACCTCCTCGCCACAAACAACACGCTTCTCCTCGATGACGGTTGTGTGAGAATGCTCTCGTTCCGCTGAGCTGATTGGTGCAATGAAACATGCATCGGGTCTGATGACCGCTCACCTGGCTGTAGTGAGACTTCTTCCCCTCTATCTTAGGGTCGGGTCCTGGAGTCAGCATGGAACTATCAAAGGTTTTTGACCTGCAAGTAAAAAAAGTTCAGAGAAGAAGAAGAAGGAATCTCTGCAATCAATGTTGTGATCCAACAGCAAAACGGTGAGAAGATTCCCGTTTTACCTGACCAACACTGGTTTCATCCGGCCTGATGCTTCCTGCTGTTCCGGATCAGCCGCCTGGAAAGACTCGCCAACCATCCTGATGCTTCTGTCCTCGGTCACAGTCTCAACATCAGAACTAAACCCAGGAAAAGTAAAGTCATCCGCTCTCTGATTAGTCTAATTAGTTTAATTAGATTTGGCTACTAATAGCTAATGAAGCTATCAGGAGAGGACGACATGAAACAGAAGGAGATTTAAAACAGGGGCATACTTGAATACAGCTCTGTATTCATGGTAATCAGCTGATTGCTTGGAGGCGTGGCCTGAGTGACACTCCAGCCAATCAGAACACAGCTGAATCAATAATTCAGACATCTTCTCTTGAGCTCAACATCGAGTAACAGCTTAATACACGAAGAACTAATCAATTGTAAGACGCCATTTCAAAATAAAATACCTGTTTTTAGCTCTTAGCTTTGAATTTCATTATAAATGTAATTCCAGCCGTTGCGATGCATGAATTTTGCTGATTAATAAGTGATGGGGTAAAGCGTCGGTCTGATGATTTAGATGTCTCGGGTGGGAATTTACAAATTCAGACAGCTGGAAAAAAGTCAAAATTTTGACCACTCAGGTGAGGTTTTGTGACTTCAAATCCCAAATATTTTCTAAATTAAAGCTCCACCTGCAGCTGCAGGAAGTCTGTTCAAAATTTAAAACTTTCTGGATGCATTCAAACTGCTAACGACAGTTAAAATGAACTTCTGAGGGTTCCACATTCTCTTGCAATGACAAACTCACTGATAATCCCTTTCTTCATGCTTTGCTGCTCCTCTGTTGCTCTTGCTGACATCCTCCCGAGACGTCTGCTGCTCTATCATCACACTCTGAGGACCTTCCAGCCCGTCCCAGGCTCCGCCACAGGTACTGAAAGGTGAGCCGAGCCTGCAGCCTGATCTGCTGCTCCCTCACCTGCATGTGGAAGTGTTTCCTGGCACCCCACACACCCACCCTTTTGGTTTCACGTGTCCCAGCCAATCAGATGGGAGGACGGGGTGGCGTGTAGAAGGGCTAGAATGCATTCGAACCTTTGATCAGTGACACGTTATCCACCAGCTTTGTTTAGATAGTAAAGCTGCTGTTTTTATCAAATCTATCCTGTGAAAAAAAAACAGCAGATAGCGTTAGCTTAACGTGCAAATTCTTCCAAAATCAGTTTTTTACCCTAAAGAGAGAAATCCAATTTGTTTGCTGTTATAAAAGAGCTTCGCTGATCTTTAAAGCTTCACACTTATTTGATCTGATTTGTAATTTTTACGTTTGTTCTGAAAAAAGAGTTTTTGATACAGTGCGAGAGTCTCCAAGCTGCAAGAATAATTTTCCGTTAAATATCTGCACGGAAAGACCCAGAACCCAGGAGAGTCTGGTGTTGTTTACATGGAGAGTAAATCGGCTCCAGGAGCCTAAAGGTGGATGCTGGTTTAAATGGACACTTTTAAAAATGGGGTTGTGGCCTGTTAACCCCAATCTCTTTTAAGATCTTCAGATTTTAGAGAAATAATTACATTTAAACAGCGTCAATTTGTATAAATAAAACTTTGATCCATTACTGATCATGTGCATGGACAGGTTTGTAAATATTGGAAGAAAATGGCCACCTGTGATTAATGTTTCACTAAATTCTGCAGCGAGTGAACTGGGTCGACATATCAGGGACCTTGGCTCCTCTGCTGTCCCATCACAGGGGAGGGGGAGGTCCAGGAGGGGGAGGACCCAACCTTACCTGGACGTCCTATGTCTTATATATTCTGGAAGTTCTGCAAATGCAGGGATGGGAGTAGATATTCTGCTGGGGTGGGGCTGGGTTGGTGCCCTCGGACTCCGTGAGGCTCTGCAATGCTGCTGCTTTGGGCCCTGGCAGGATGGGCTGGGGGTCTCCATGCTCTGGGTGGCATTTTGACAACAGAGGTGTTCCGGGGGAGGCGGGGGACATTGAGTCTGAATGGACCCTGATCCGTGCCTCCATTGTTGAGGCGGCCGACCGGAGCTGTGGTCGCAGGATCGTCGGTGCCTGTCGTGGTGGGCACCGGCGGTTAGGGATGCTGTCAAGCTGAAGAAAGAGTCCTATCAGGACTTTTTGGCATGTGGGACTCCAGAGGCAGCTGGTGGGTACCGGCAGTCCAAGTGGAACGCGGCTTGGATGGTTGCCGAGGCAACAGCCCGGGCATGGGAGGAGTTCGGTGAGACCATGGAGCAAGACTTCCGTACGGCTTCGATGAGATTCTGGTCCACCATCCGGCGCCTCAGGGGGGAAAGCAGTGCACTACCAACACTATCTATAGTGGGGACGGTGTGCTGCTGACCTCTACTCAGGACCTCAATCCCACCGACACGTCTTCCAGTGAGGAAGCAGAGTCTGGGGACTTTGGGTTGGCCTCTCAAATCTCTGGTGCTGAGGTCACTGAGGTGGTTAAGAAGCTCCTCTGTGGCAAGGCTCCAGGGGGTGGATGAGATCCGCCCGGAGTTCCTTAAGGCTCTGGATGTTGTGGGGCTGTGTTGGCTGATGCAGCTCTAAAATATCGCGTGGACATCGGGGGCAGTCCCACTGGACTGGCAGACCGGGGTGGTGGTCCCCTTATTTAAAAAGGGGACCGCAGGGTGTGTTCCAACTATGGGGGATCACATTCCTGAACCTTCCTGGTAAGGTCTATTCAGGGGTTCTGGAGAGGAGGGTCCATCGGATTGTTGAACCTCAAATTCAGGAGGAGCAACGTGGTTTTTGTCCTGGCCGTGGAACACTGGACCAGCTATATACCCTTAGGGGGATCCTGGAGGGTGCGTGTGAATTTGCCCAACCAGTCTACATGTGTTTTGTGGATTTGGAGAAGGCGTTTGACTGCGTCCCTCAGGGGGCCCTGTGGGGGTGGGTACTCCGGGAGTATGGGGTACGAGGCCCTCTGATACGGGCTGTTTGGTCCCTGTATGACCGGTGTCAGAGCTTGGTCCACATTGCCGGCAGTAAGTCGGGCTCGTTCCCAGTGAGAGTTGGACTCCGCCGAGGCTGCCCTTTGTCACGATTCTGTTCATAACCTTTAAGGACAGGATTTCTAGGTGCAGCCAAGGTGTGGAGGGCATCCGTTTTGGTGGCCTGAGGATCAGGTCTCTGCTTTTTGCAGATGATGTGGTCCTGTTGGCTTCATCAGAACATGATCTTCAGCTTTCGCTGGAGCGGTTCACAGCCGAGTGTGAAGCAGCTGGGATGAGAATCAGCTCCTCTAAATCTGAGACCATGGTCCTGAGTCAGAAAAGGGTAGAACGCCTTCTCTGGGTCAGGGATGAGGTCCTGCCCCAAGTGGAGGAGTTTCAGTATCTCGGGGTCTTGTTCACGAGTGAGGGAAAACTGGAGCGTGAGATCGATAGGCGGATTGGTGCTGCATCTGCAGTGATGCGGGCGTTGTACCGGTCTGTCGTGGTGAAGAGAGAGCTGAGCCAGAAGGCGAAGCTCTCGATTTACCGGTCGATCTACGTTCCTACCCTCACTTATGGTCATGAGCTTTGGGTAGTGACCGAAAGAACAAGATCACGGATTCGAGCGGCCAAAATGAGTTTTCTCTGAAGAGTGGCTGGGCCCTCCCTTAGAGATAGGGTGAGAAGTTCTGTCATCCGGGAGGGGCTCGGAGTAGACCCGCTGCTCCTCCACATTGAGAGGAGCCAGTTGAGGTGGCTTGGGCATCTGGTCAGGATGCCTCCTGGGTGCCTCCCTGGTGAGGTTTTCCGGGCACGTCCAACTGGGAGGAGACCTAAAGGTAGACCCAGGACACGGTGGAGGGACTATGTCTCTCACCTGGCCAGGGAACGCCTTGGGATTCCCCCGGAGGAGCTGGCCCAAGTGGCTGGGGAGAGGGAAGTCTGGGCCTCTCGACTCAGGCTGCTGCCCCCGCGACCCGACTCCAGATAAGCGGATGAAAATGGATGGATGGATAAACCTGGGTTAAATTAAGATTGGGCGAACACATTTAACAAAAGTAAAACAGCCTTACATCCTGCAGCTGAGGTGAAGTGGAAGAGGAGGCCAACGACACCTGGTGGGTGAAAAGAGTGATGCAGAAAAAAAAGGTCAACCCCTTTAGTTGTTTCTCTGCTCAAGACATCTGACTTCAGGTGATTAACAAACTTCTGCAGAGCTTGATGAGCTACTGAACAGGTGGTTTGCAAGCAGGACAGTGACCCTTGAGGAGCAGGACACTGGACCATCGCTCTAGAAATAATCAAAGGTCACATGAAAGAGAATTCATGTTTGCTTTACCTGCAAATACGGATAAATAAGAACAAAATGCTCCAAACTTCAGGGCTTACACAGAATCAGCCGCTCAGGTGATTGAAGGTTGCATCCCCTTTGACTCATTTTTGACAAAAAACAAACAAAAAATCAGATTGTGGGGAAGAAAACATCGTGCAAATGTTTATATTTCATTGTTGGGGCTTTTCAAAGTGTTTCAGAGTAGATAGAGGAAATGTGGGTCTTGAGTTTGCATCTTTTGTCCTTTTTTATTGCAGTAAAAGGTTTTTAAAGTATAAAATGATGCAAAATTACAGAATAGCAGTGCTAACAATCCTGTTCGGGTAACTATAACCATAAACTCTGCTTGTGGCAAAACAAACTATACAAAATACATGCTGCAACTCATTCCTGTCCCAGGAAGGCACCGTTTGTGACTACGGATTCGTTTTCTCTACATTGATTTTCGAAAAAGTTCTAGTTTTTTTTTAATCTAAGGTTGCATGCTTGCTGTCTTATGTTCTGCTAGCTGCCGCTAAAAATGTCAGTTTAGCTAACGCTCCTTTGAACGAGAGGCAGAAACAAACGGGTCTTCCTGGACGACGGCTATGAGCTACAAACGTTGCTAAATGAAATGCAGATGAAAAATGTCACTTTGTGGTGAAAAAGGACCATTTTACAACTATTTATTTGACTTTCGGCATTTTTTTCCTAAATGGAACAAAATGAAAAAGCTAAACCTCAAACATCTTACAGAACCTCCATGAGAGTCGTGTCAGTACATTCAGCTTGATCCAGGAGAATATATATATATATATATATATATATATATATATATATATATATATTGTGTATTCGATTTATTCAGTCAGAAATATAACAAAACATAATATAATCATAAAACATAAATCATTACATTCAAAGTGACTGAAAAGACTCAGGCAGAAGCAAAATGCTTATTTTTATGCCTGGGCGACGGTGGCACAGGAGTTAAGAGCTCGCCCCGTAATCGGAAGGTTGCAGATTCGAGCCCCGCTCACTCTGTCGCTGTCGTTGTGTCCTTGGGCAAGACACTTTAGTGGTAGAGTGTCCGCCCTGAGACTGGGAGATCAGGGATTCGATTCCTGGTCGGGTCATACCAAAGACTTTGAAAAAATGGGACCCAATGCCTCCCTGCTTGACACTCAGCATTAAGGGGTTGGATTGGGGGGTCAAACCACCAAATGGTTCCCGAGCGCGGCTGTGTCTGCAGCTCACCGCTCCCCCAGGGGATGGGTCAAATGCAGAGAACAAATTTCGCACACACACCTGTGTGTGAGACAACTAATGAGACTTTAACCCACGTTGCCTGCGGCGCCACCGGTCGGAGGGACCGGTGGCGCCAGTGCTCGGCAGCCTCGCCTCTGTCAGTGCGCCCCAGGGCAGCTGTGGCTACATCGTAGCTCATCACCATCAGTGTGTGAATGTGTGTGTGTGAATGACTGGTTGTGTTGTAAAGCGCCTTGGGGGGTTCCAGGACTCTAGTAGGCGCTATATCAAATACATTTACCATAATAATGTCCATGTTAATATAATAATAGTAATTAATTAAAACAGACTGTCCTCCATTCTGTACCTGGTATAAATGTTGTTTTTGTATTTATTTTCAAACAGAATCATAGTAACACATTTCCTTAGTGTCCCCACCATCCTATTCCACAGTCTTGCTCCACACACCGAAATACAAAAGGTTTTACTTGTTGTACGTGCAAAAGGAATTCTGAAGTGAAATTGTTCCCACAATTAATAACCCCCTTCCTTCTCAATGAATAATTTTTGGATGTTTTCTGGTAATAGCTTGTTTCTGGCTAGAAATAATATTTGTGCTGTGTGCAATTCTACAATGTCTCTAAATTTTAAGAGTGTTGACTGTATAATTTATTGGTGTGATCCCTATATCCTACCTTATGAATGATTCGTATTGCTTTCTTTTGCAACATCATTGATGGCTGGATTGCACTAATGTAATTATTACCCCAAACCGCTATATTTCACTTTGTTTAATACCGCAATTGATCTTGAAATTTTATCTAGCACATATTTAATTTATGGTTTCCAATTAATTTTATCATCTATAATTACCCCTAAGAATTTTGTTTCCTTCACTCTTTCAATATTTACTCCATCTATCTGTACATTCAAATTCATATTAGTGTTATGTCTACCAAAAATGATTAGTTTTGTTTTGTTGTCATTTAGCAATAGTTTATTCCTATCCAACTATGATTTTAATTTGATCAATTCAGCATTCGTCTCTTGTATTAGATGCTGTAAGTCACTACCAGAGCAAAATATGTTGGTATCATCAGCAAATAGAACCATCTTAAGAAGTACTTGGGAAACATTACGTATGTCATTAATGTACGTTAAAAATAGTTTAGGGCCCAGTACCGACCCCTGTGGAACGCCACATGTAAAATCCTAACAGGATGAACAAACACCATCTAGTTTTACAAACTGCTTCCTTCCAGATAGATGACTTGGAAGCCAATCTAATGATTTCCCTGTGATGCCATACCGGTCCAGTTTTTTAAATAATAATACTATAGTTTATTGTGTCAAACGCCTTTTTTAAGTCTATGAAAATTCCCAGTGCATAATGTTTTTGGTGAGTTGAGTTACTGATTCCCTCAGCTGCATCAATTTTTGTTTCTCTTTTAGGTCTGAACCCATATTGACTCTCCGCGAGTAGTTTATATTTTTCAGTGAATTTGTCCAATTGGTTATTAAAGAGTTTTTCCAGGATTTTGGAAAATTGAGGTAATAAAGATACAGGTCTATAATTTGTGAATTGGTGCTTGTTCCCAGTTTTGTACACAGGAATGACCTTAACTATTTTCATTTTATCTGGAAATGTACCGGTCTGCAAGGATAAATTACAAATATATGCTAGTGGTTTTGAAATCTCCTCTATCACCTTTTTAATCGCAATCTTATTTATTCCATCGTATGTTTTAGTCCTACAGGAAGCCACAGTATTTATAATATCTCTTTCATCTACAGCCTTGAGAAAGAATGAAATCAGATTTCGGTTTATAAAATTTTCCGCATCTTTTGCAGTTGTTACTGGGTCAGGAATTTTATCAGCAAGATCAGGTCCAACATTTATAAAACATGTATTCATTCTGTGAGCCACTTCTTTCATATCATACTTTTATATATTATTAATAACAAAATATTTAGGATTAGATTGTTTACAGCCCTTTTTTATTACACTGTTTAATATGCTCCATAGACCTTTCATATTATTCCCAGACATCCTTCTCTGTGGATTCTTCTGGGAAAAGAGTTCCCAGACCAGACACCAAACCCTGGGTCTGCTCCGGTTTCCCTCCCAGAGACTCCCTTGGAAAACCTCCGGAGGACCAAAAGTATCCCAGTCGGACATCCAAACCAGCTCAGCTCAACTCCACATTCTCTTCAGAGAATTCCTTGAGATCCACACCCTACCAAGCCGTTTTGTTAGATAAAATAAATAATAAAAGCTAATTCAATGTTTTGCAGCTTACACAGCATAACCTGCGGAGCATCAGATCTGCAAGTTTCCTCAAATATGAATACAATCTTTTCTTTAAGCCTGTTTCACACCGAATGAGGCACGGAGGCGCTCCGGTTTCCACACAGCTTCCGGAAAGACTGCGGTCCGTGACTGTCTCCAGAAATCTGCTCCCACAAGTGCATCAAATCACTACAAAACCAACATAAAACACTTAAAAATATGCCTGTAAAAAACAGGAACCATCGTACCCTGACATCTCCATCATCAACAATATAAAAACAAAAGCTGCCAAAAATAAAACAACACGGCTGTGGCGGCCTGGGTGCTTTCCAGGTGTGCCTGGGTGGAGGTGAGGGTCACCGCCCTCCCTGCCCTGGGGCGCCCTGTGTCGGTGCCTCGGCTGCTGCTGTCGGGGCGGATGGCTCCCTTGATGGCGTTTCCTTATCCTTATCTTAGCTGGTCTGCTCATCTGATCTCAGCCCATCGTGTTTTTTCCATGTGTGTGTGTGCGTGTGTGTGTGTGTGTGTGCGTGAGTGCCGGAAGACGAGTGTTGTGAAGGGTTTTTATTGTCAGACTGTTTTTAACTTTCTGGGCATGGGAGGAAATGTGGGTATGCGGGGCCTTTTTAATTTGTTAAGTACTTTGAGTTGCGTGTACTGTAGGATAAAGTGCCGTATAATTCAAGTTTGTGTTTGAGTTTATTCATTTAGCAGACGCTTTCATCAAAGCGACTTACAGTTTATAACCTGTAGGGCATGTTGTGATCTGTGGGGGAAACCGGAGTACCCGGAGGAAACCCACGCATTCATGGGGAGAACACGCAACTCCACGCAGAAAGGCCGCAGCCGAGTTTCGAACCTGCAACCTTCGTGCTGCGAGGCAACAGTGCTAACCACTGTACCACCATGCAGGCCGTTTGAGCTTTTATTTTGGAAGAAACACCTCGCTGAACCAGGTCTCACTTCCTTAGAGCCCTGCACTGAAGCCCGGCCCTCGGGTCGGCCCGGCCCGACGGCTCGAGGGCCGGGCTTCAGGCCAACGACTGTGTAATTACCTCGGATACGGGCCGGGCCGGGCGCCTTTATTTTTAATCGAATTCATAAAAAAATAAAAAAAAAACTGAAACACTTGAACGCAGCAGCACCACCCTGCTTCTCACGCACCGGTACCCGTTAGCTCAGTTAAGGTGTGTGTGGTTTATAAACGCGCCGATATAAACGAATTCTCAAACTGCTGACTGAAACATGTGCCCCTAGTCTAATATGCCATTTTATGTCCATGGACATAAAAATGAATTAGTTCTTCAGAGAACCCCTTGATAAATGGTTATTTAAGGAACCCTAAAAGGTTCTGATTTTAAGGTTCCACAGAGAATCTAATGATGTTCTTTAAAGAACTTTTTTCGGTTCTCTGAAGCACCCAATTAAATTAGTTCTTCATAGAACCTTTTGATAAATGGTTATTTGTGGAACCCTAAAAGGTTCTATATGTGAGGTTCCACAGAGAACCAAATAAAAGTTCCTCAAAGAACCCATTTATAAATGGTTCTTTGAGGAACCAATAGGCAAAAGGTTTCTTGGAGAACCGAAGAAGGTTCCCCTATGGCATCACTGTGAAGAACCATCTTTGGTTCTAACTGGAACCTTTATTTTTAAGAGTGCACTTTGATGTCAGAAACCATTCGTTTATTCTCATGAAAACGGCAGCGTTCTATTTTTCTGTGAATAAATTCGCTCTGCAGTTAAAATATACAGCATTCATTGCTGGATTTTTTTCTAACTGCAGAGCGCATTTTCAGAGCGGCAGATTAAATTTACAAACGCTGTATTAATTGGGGGCGTTTACTTAATCTGCTGCTCTGAAAATGCGCTCTGCAGTTAGAAAATTAGAATGCTGCTATTTTTTCTAATTGCACACGAGCGCATTTTCAGAGCGGCAGATTAAATTTACAAATGCATCCAATTAATATAGTGTTCGTAAATTTCATCTGCCGCTCGAAAAATACGCTCTGTTAGAAAAAAAAGCTGCATTGATGCCGTCTTTCTTTCTTTTCTTTTCTTTTTTACTGCAGAACGCTTCTCACAGATAATTAGAACGCTGAGCGTTCTATCACGCTAAAACATCATCAAAGGTTAAAAAAAAGTCAGGCTCGGGTCGGGCTGGGGCTCCACCCCCTCGGGTCGGGTTGGGGCTCCACCCCCTCGGGCCGGGCACGGGCTCAGATTTTAGGCCCGTGCAGGGCTCTACCCTTCCTGTCTGGGTCATTTCTTCAACTTCATCAAAATCCACATGTGGCGTGGGGGAAAAACTTACACTCCATGCTGAAAATTTCCGGGGCTCCGTATCTGTGTTTGCGTCGTCGTCGGTGTGAATGCTTTAATTGGACTCGATGATTTCTGCAGAAGTCGTGTCGAAACCAGCGGCATCCATTCCGTGTTTGGTGTGAAACAAGCTTCAAGGGTCTAAATGTACTATAAGAGCTAAAAAAAAGGCTAAAAATGATCAATTCTCAGCGTAAAACTGTTGAAATAAAGTTTTTTTCCTCTGCCTAGCAACACAAACTGCTGGCTGCCCACTTATTCCAGGATATGAAAATAAAATGTTTTAAGAACGGAAGTTAAATACTTGAGGCAGCGTGGAGTAGCTGGTTGTTCCTCCTGGACAGAGTTCTGCCATGACACCCAGGATGACTAAACTCTGGGCCGCCTGTAAACACAAAAACTCCCCCGTCCGTTTCCCCTCGGTGAGATGACATCGGAACGTGAAGATGGTGCACTTTTAGAGTCTTCAGTGAAAGTGTTCTGACTGCTCTTGTTTGTGTCAGAGAGGAGGGTCCGCGATGGTCCTGAACATCTGCAGCGAGGTCCCCTCCACATCTGGAACCTTAGAGTTCTGAGGGCGTCCCGTTGGGCTGTAACCGGCCGACCGTCCCATGGGACTGAAGCCGGTGGTGGTCCGACCCACAGGGGGAAAGCCCGAAGCTAGCGAGACGGCGGGACGTCGCAGGAAGCGATTGGACGTCACCAGATCTCCGTAGCCCTGAGCGTGAGAGAAGGCGTAGCCTGAGCGGCGGGAGCTGGTGCGGCGAATTCGAGCCCGTCGAGGGGGAGGGGGAGGAGTCACTTTGGCCTGTCTCACCTTGAACATCACCTGGAAATTTAAAGAGAAAAATAGTGACTTTAAAGTCCTTTTTAACCCGGCACAGGACACCAAACCCTGCAGCTCAGGAGCTCTGCAGGACTACTGGCACAGACGCCAACTAAAAAGGACAACTTCCCTTGGTGGTGTCAAAGAGAAACATTATAATTATTTATGTTTAAATATTGAATATATGATTGTGCTTGAAATGGTCCTCTCTAGGGTTGGGCATCGATTCCGATTCCTTGTTTCGATTCCGGTTCCAATCGAATCCCAATTCCGATTCTTGCAAGACATGACACGTTTTAAATGAGCCAGCCAGCCACAGGTCCTACTTGATGAAATAACTTCTACGCCACACGTACCGGTCTGCAAGGATAAATTACAAATATAGGCAGCAGAGTAGCAGCAACAGACGGGCGGTGTGATCAACCCTGAAAAGTGTTGATCAGAATTTGCAGATCACGTTAACTTTTCACGGAGATCGGCCGGGGACTCCTCTTCCGGTCGGCATGCTTGGAATCGAAGCAAAAAACTTTGAATGATTCCGGGGAAAACCGACTGTTGGTCCCGGTTCCAATCGACGCTCGACGCCCAACCCTAGTCTCCTCTAAACCAACCAGCCTGCAGAGGCTTTGATTTTTCTGTACCTTATCATTGACGGTAGGACAGAGCTGAGTCAACAGGAAGCGATACGTGACCACAGGAAGGACGCACAGGATGGAGGTGAGGAGGATCGTCAGCCAGACGCTGGGCTGGTTCAGAGAGTTTCGAGCAGTTCCTGAATCAGCAAAAGGTTCCAGTTAAGATCTTTCATTGTTTTACTGTCGTCACAGTAAACCTCTACCTGTTACTAGACACCCAACAACTCGTTTAATAAACACCAAAGTGATCAGACTCAGATTGTGTTACATCTAAAACGGTCCGGGCTGAAACAATTCTCTGTTCTGTTAGCTAGAATGCTAACATAACTATCATCATGACTCCAATAATCTGGTGCTTACTTTAAAAACAACAACATTGAGTTTGGAAAGAAACACAGAATAATGTTTGTGTTTCAGCTCTAATCATCAGACGAATGATGCAACAAAATTTGCGACAAGCGGAAAACAAACAGGTCTAATCTACACACGGCGACGAGCTGCAGACACCAGGAGCTCACCGATGAACGGGAACGCCGACGGTAAGAAGAGGAACATTCCATTACTGTACATGGTGAACGTGACGGCAAAGTACATCACCAAACTGCCCAGCACAAAGAACGTGTTCACGGCCGTCCAGTAGGACATCTCCAACCCCAACTACACAAAAACACAGAAAACACAACCTCGTTTTGAGAAATGTCTGAAATGTGTCGCAACGAAGGAAGAGTTTCGTCGTGCCTGGATGCTGACTGCAAACAGCAGACACGTCTGAGTGAGGAGAGCGAAGGACTGGTAGTCGGCAACGTCGCTCCCATCGTCCCTCACTGTGTCGCTCAGCGCAGCGTAGGGGATGAAGAAGAGCACCAGCGAGCTGTAGCAGCTGTGGATGGCACACTTAAAAAAGGCTTTCCTGCTGAAATACAGATTCCGCTGACCGGGAACGTATAGCTCCGGATGCTGGAAACTCCACACGTCGTTAACATCCTGACCAGAAGGGGGAGACAAAGATCAGACGAAACACAATGTGACGCTCAAACTGAGAAATGAAACAAGTAGAAGCAGCCATTTTGTCCTGCTCTGGGTTCATAAGCCTCGATCCACTCAGAACCGTCGCTACCATTCACCCCGAGGAGGATGAGGAGGACAACTGGACGTTACCTGGTCAAACAGACTCATTCCCAGCACAGGTAGAGCTGTATACATTAGATTATAGAGTGTGATGAACCACTCATCGTACACCGTCTGAAAAGTAAAATCGGACACAGAACAGAACATTTAATCTCTGTTTAATCCCAATCTACAGCAGGCGCAGGCATCATCTGTCCTTTATAAAGCTGAAACCGACATTTACGTGTCTCCTCCACTCCACCGTGTCTCGTTTTATCACCTGTGCCGAGAAGCCGCAGAAGAAGGCGAACCAGAAGTGCACGAAGGTGAAGGTGAAGTTCTTGTAGAAGAAGTAACGCAGGAACTTGCACATGCGCAGGTAGGACCAGCGTCCGTGCACCAGCAGGAGGCGCTGCAGGAAACGGAACTGGGCGAAGGAGTAGTCGCTGGACAAGACCGCCTGCATGCCCTCCTGACCCGAGATGCCCACACCGATGTGAGCAGCTGCGGAGGGAAAGAAGACACACATTTCAAGTATTCATAAAGAACTCCAACAGCCGTTGTGCCGTAGAAGATTTCAGACGTCAGAAAGGCACAGATGTTTTCATTTGTGTGTAAAAAAATGTCCTGGTAGTGTTTTTACTGAGTGATTTAAAAAAACTAGTGTATTTATTATACAAGGTTCAGTCTCGGCTACTTTTGCAGCAGGGTTCAAAGAACTTCCTTCATCCCGTCACAGTAAGAGTCTCATACATCCTGAAACAAAACTTCTAAAAATGTGTTAATCAATATATTAATTTTTAATTCTTTGGCAAAAAAAAAAAAAACTATTTTGTTGTGTTTGGATGTTGGGATTCTTCTTGTTCCGCTGCAGCAGAAGTAGCCAAACATTGTTTCTTACAGTAACACTAATAAGCCGTCATAATAATAATAATAATAATAATACATTTTATTTAAAAGCGCCTTTCAGGACACCCAAGGTCACTTTACACAAAACACGTAATAAAATACAATAAAACAATAATAAAACCCAATGAAGAAAAAAAAACAGAGAGAGAAACAGTTCAATAAAATCAGAGGTTGTAGGCAGATTTAAACGTGTGTGTTTTGAGTTTTGTTTTGAAAAGGGTAAAACTGTCGACGTTCCTGATGTCTGGGGGAAGTGAGTTCCAGAGTCGAGGAGCAGAGCGGCTGAAAGCTCTGCTCCCCATGGTAGCGAGACGGGCAGAGGGAACCGCAAGATGGATGGAAGAAGAAGATCTGAGAGAACGGGATGGGGTGTGAATACTTATAAGGTCAGAGATATATGGAGGAGAGAGGTTGTGGATTGCTTTGAAGGTATGAAGGAGAATTTTGAAGATGGACCTGAATTTAACTGGGAGCCAGTGAAGCTGCTGGAGAACCGGCGTGATGTGGTGAAAGGAAGGGGTTCTGGTGATAATACGGGCTGCTGAATTCTGGACCAGTTGCAGTTTATGAAGGAGTTTGTTGGGAAGACCATAAAGAAGTGAATTGCAATAGTCGATACGGGAGGTGACGAGGCTGTGGACGAGAATGGCGGCAGTGTGAGGGGTCAGTGAGGGACGGAGACGGTTTATGGAACGTAGATGGAAGTATGCTGACCGAATTAAGTTATTAATGTGAGCCTGAAAAGAAAGTGAGCTGTCGAGAACGACACAGTCATAGTTAAAGCAGTTACTGGGGAGAGTTTTCATGTGTTTTCTTAATATTTAGATTTTTCAAAAAATGCTAATTTTCTGCGTGATGTCACGTCTGAACTAAAATAGTTCTCACAGGGTGCTACAACAACAACAAACAAAAAAAAACATACATAATAGAGATTTTGTGCAAATGAAAAGGTATAAAGTGACAGAAAGTTTACATAGACGTTTAAATTAGATTTTTCTGAGTTTTTTCCTAGAAAAACTTGTGATCGCCCCCTCAGGCCAAAAGCATAACGGCAGCTTCAATAGCAGGCTCGTGCACGAGGCGCGCATGCTGTACGTGCACACTCCTTAACGAAAATAACAGCTGAGACAGTCCCGTGTGTGTGTGTGTGTGTGTGTGTGTGTGTGTGTGTGTGTGTGTGTGGCCCAGAGGACAGGAGAACGTGCAGCTAATTAATTAAATAATGTGGTTCTGTAGCTTTCTCTTCAGCACAGCCGACAAAGGTTTATGATGGGTCAGTCCTCCTGCATGCTCAGATCATTCCCTTCCCTTGCTTGAAAAATTGTTCCAAAATGAAAGTTGAACCCACATCTTTTTTATCTGTGAATTCAATGCCGTTCGGCGAGTCTCAAATAAAAATTTGGGCATTTTACTGTAAAAAAATATACCATTAATGTAAAAAATAAACTCTAAATAAACTATGTTTGCATCCAGAATCAAACCCAGGTCTTCTG